CTCTCTCTCTCCAGAGCCACAGAAGATACTTTACAACAGCATTCTCAGGATGAGAAGAGCTCCTCATGTCAAGTAAACTCTGCTTCAAGTATAAAATTGATGTAATATCCCTCAAAGCTAAAACGAGACTAAAAGAGTTCTAAGAAGCCTATCGTTGCGCATACTGAAGATCAAAATAGGCGTAGAGGAAACATTTGAAAATCACAGGTGCTGATTAGATTTCAGCCTGATAACGCCTGTTTGTAGTTGTGTTTAAAGGGCTTTTTTTCAAGTCCGAGTAATCGAGTGTTGCTTTTATTTATTTTAATCTCCCACCCCTGCAAGTTATAGCAGATGTCAGTCAGCCAACCACTTAAACACTCGGCTGTAGCGTCAGATAGACAAGCCAGTTAGACATCCAGTTAAACTGCCAGCAACTTCAGCCCACCAGCAATCCAGTCCGTCAGTCAGCCAGTCAGTCAGACACCATTAGTATGCATCCTGCCCTCAGACTTTAACACACAGCAGCCAGGCCGGGGGAGAGGCGGGAGGCGGGGGTGGGAGACGTTTTGACTGAGCGAGAGGCCACGTTCAAACGGTTGCATTCTCAAGGTCTGCTGGGAGTAACCTTTGACCCTTTGCACTCCACGTGTGTGTGTGTGAATTCAGCGAGTGTTTGTGTGTTTTGGTGCCTCTGCTGGCCGCGTGGAGACTGCAGCCTGCAGGGCCATGTGGAACTCATTTAACAGGAGAGCAGAGGAGGTTGAATGCGTTTACGGCACATGAGAGGGGAGGGAGGCCGAGGGCTCTCGCTCGTCCTGGAAAACAGGCAGGCAGGGAGACAGGCGGCGGGCGAAGACGTAGGAAGCAGACAGAAAAGGCAGAGCAGCTGACCAGACATCGGAAAAAGACAGACTAGAGGATATTTTCTCTCCAGGAAAAAAGAGATAGAAATGCAGACAGACACCTTTTCTTGTCTGTTCATACATTTCTTTCTCTTGTTTTCTGCTTCCAACCACACAGAGCTGTTTTTCCTCTGCCTTTCTCCAAGCTTGTAAAATGTAATGCTCGATCTCAGCGAGCGGGGACGGGCTTTGGGAGTGCTGCCTGGTCTTTCTCAGCTTAGTTTGTCACCTCATATCCACAGCATATGTCCCAGGTTTTTTACCTGCGGCGTCGGCGTGCGTGCTCGGTTGGAGATATGAGTCACCACTATACATAGAATGACAGATCGATGCACAGAGGGGAAAAAATCAACAAGTGAGGATGGAAGAAAGAAATTCAAACAGTCAGCAGAGCGAGGAGGTGAATGTAGAGGTCACATATGTAAGAGGAGCTCGCACCTATAGTAGAGGTTATATGTATGTGTGTGCAGATGTGTGCATCTAGGATAAACTGCTGTTGCTGAGGTGTGAGAGCCCATGTCAAACATTTCTCTCTCTCTCACTGTTTTCACTCATGAAATCTAGACAAGACTGAATCTGGACGTCGCCTACTGGTTTGGGCTCAGCTGCATTAGCCAGTGATGAAAGATAAAGCAGTTCCGCACATGGCCACTAGAGGCTCACTCCCAATAACATGTCAGTCCCCTTGGATCTCCATGTTAAAATGTCCCGATTTACAGTCTGATACAAACAGCTGTTTTGGTTTGTATATCACATTTATGCTTATGTTGTTTTTAATAACATACAATTTAATTCTTATTTAAGCTTAAAGTTTGCACCAGGTGTCACCTCAGCTAATCCAGCCCACTGAATTTGCTGTGTTTGTGCCTTTTCGGCGATAATTAGCAAATAATGAGTCTTACAGTGTTACCACCAGACTAAGAACTTTGAGTTCTACTTTGTTCGTGTGTTACTTAAAACTAATTAGTAGATATCAGTGTTTGTTTGTTGTTTATGGAAGCAGCTTGCTAGCCAAACCTGCCATCTAGGTCAGTGGTCCCCAACCCCCAGGCCACGGACCGGTACCGGTCCTCGAGTCGTTTGGTTCCGGGCCGCGCGAGTTGAGGCTCGGGTGTGAAATTTATGGTTTTCAGGGTTTTTATCGTTAACTCTGTTTCCTCTGGGTCTTTCCCGTGTTATAGTTGTGTGTCTTATTTTGAAAGAAATATTCACACGTTACCATAGCAACCAGAGAGCATTAAGGGGCAGAGAGGAGGATGTTACTCTCAATGTTGTTGGCGCATTTCAGGAGGATGCTGCTAATAAAGTTACACAATTACACAGCAAATTCATGTTTATTATTTACAAAATAGCACAGTTTTTGTCTCGGTCGTATCATTTTATTTTGTTGTATTTATCCGTGACACAAGGCCAGTGACTTTGCTCATCTTTTATGCACAGTCTGTTATCGAGGCAAGTTTAAAGCAGGCTGACACACAGCAACCAGCCGTTTGTGATGAGGTTTCAAACAGAGCCGCCTGCTCTGCTCTCACATCGGCACACACGGACAAGCTATTCGAGAACTGATGCATTAAAGATTGTTTACCGTCCACCGAACGTACGCGTCTGCTCGATAACGTCGTGAAAAGTTTAGGGTGCGAACTAAGAAACGGCTTCTCTGCCCTGCTTTCCCAGAGTGGTAGATCCCTTCTGATGCATGATCTACCACTCTGTGGCATGTGGAAAGGGAACCGTTGCTATGGTAACCCAAAGCCTGACTGGAACGAGAGGTGGGGAGGAGAAAGGGTGGGTGCGTGTCAACCCGGGGAGACCACTGCCCACACGCACACATCCATGCAGCGAGTGATCAAGATTACAAAAGAGACTCTGTGCAGGGACTTACTTATAAGGTTATGGAGAGCAGAGCTGGAGATATCAGGGGCAGAGCCGCGCTAACAGGAGTCAATAAGATTACTGTGGACACAGGCGGCCAGAGAGAGGCAGCAGACGCACACTTACAATGACAAAATCATAATGCACGAGTGTTCGTGTGTGTGTGTGTGGCAACATGAACCAAATATACAAGATTGCTTTCCACATGGGGGGGGACTTGTATGTTTTAATGAGCTTGTGGTTCTCGAGGCAAATTAAATTTCTGCTCATAACATCGATCATAAATTCACTGTATGGGCTGAGATTTAACCCCTCCTCCCAAAAATGCTTCAGCTGCAGTGTATTGATGGCTTGATGAACGGTGTTCACAGTCACACCTTAACAAATGTTTCTGCGGCAGACAAAAGGAAACAGCAGGTCATCGTTTGCAAAACACAAACTGACCCCAGAGATGAAAATGACAGCTGTTCCAGTGAACTGGGATGACTGTGGTGAGCAGCCAGCCTTGAATAATGAGAGCTTTTGGATCAGATGTACGCTCTTCTTTTCTCTTCTCTTCAAAGTGTATAATCTGTGTAGAAACTATATATAGATTCACATAAATTACAATTAAAGCTTAAAACCTGTTTAGATCTTCCTTCTGGTCTGCCACAGTCCAGTCTGAGTAGGAAACCAGAGACAAGACTTTGGCCTCGGTGGAAAATCTGAAATGGCTTAAGAAACAAATTATCATGTGGAACTTCTTAATGTTTGTCTTAAATCTGAAATGTTTTTCTAGCTGAGGCATTGTTGTAAACTAGAAAAATTTCCAGTATATACTTAAACACCCTGAATACTAAAAAGCTTCTCTCTTTTTTACATTATTTCTCCAGCATCTTGATTGCAGGTTAGCTGTAAAAGTTTACTTTGTCTACCTTAGTTTACAATCTCTTTCATAATTACAAATTAAAACCATATGTCGAAATTTCACAGACCTGAGTCACTGCGCGATTCATTGGGGAAGATGTTTTTATCGCTGTATTACTGAAAGTTAGATGACTGTTTTTAAACAGCACTTTTAATCACTTTTCTTTATTATGATGATCAGCTGGTTCTTATATAGCATTTTTCTACACTAGCTGATGACTCAGAGCGCTTTATACAACATGCTTCAATCACCCAAGCACTATTTTTTATCCTTAAGTGATTTAACCGTAACACATACTCTGATGATGGATGCATCGGAGAGAAACTTGGGGTTAGTAACTTGCCCGAGGATATTTGGCATGCAGACTGGAGCAGCCATGGACTGAACCACCAACCTTCTGACTAGTAGCTGCTCTGCCTCCTGAGTATTTTTAACCCAGTGCTGTATTTACATTTATTCTTTCAGTGATTACTTTGGTTATATTTGCCATCTCTTTTATCTATTCTTCATGATTTGTGGTTAGCTCGGCGTTTTCATTCTTTATAGTTTTGTATATAAGAATTTTTGGGGCAGCTGGAAAACACTTTGCATAAACGCCTGTTCTACACACATAAAAGTGACTTTATTTGAAAGACTGAAGCTTCTTAAATGTTGTCAACTGTCTGTACTTTAAATATGAAGCTACAGCTAGCAGCCGGTTAGCTTGGTGTAGCGTGAAGAGAGGAAAGAAAAGCTAACAGTCAGGGTGGTTCTCTTTAAAGTTAATATAAACTGTCTGCCACCAGACAGCAACTTTTAGGAAATCAAAAATAAATGAATATATATCATATTTTTTGTTGTTTAAGTGTTTCTATCTTATGCTAAACTGAGCTAATTTAAGCTAACTAGCGCTGCACTGCAGCTCTACATTTACCGTACAATCACGAGAATAATATCAATCTTCTTACGTAACTCTCAGCAAAAAGGAGCAACTAAGCTAATTTCCATACATTAGCTGCACACACACGATATTAAAATATCAAGGTGAAAGGTTGGACGTTTTTCTGCCTGCTGTTAGATTGGCTCAGGTTTGTAAGCCGTAACCTTCGTCTGTCACTACAGATTTTTAGGCCCAAGTTGTTCCGAAGCCAGTCCATTTCCACGACCGTGTGTTTCAGGATGTTGTCTGTGTGGGTTTCTTTCTCCAGTGACCTCTCTGTATTCTGCACCAGTCACATCATGCTTCAATGTGGTGACCACATTAGCGAGGTGATTAGCAGCACCTGTCTTTTGCCAGTAGAAAAGCTTGGCTTTCCAGACATGAGAATTCAATCTTTGTCTCATTAGTCTGCAGAAAGTATCGTTTGGTAAACTCCAGGTGGGCTTGCCATATGCCTGTTTTTTCAGCGGAGTAAAATGGCACTTAGGCAGAGTGCCGCAGAGTTGTCCTTCTGGTGGGTTCTTTAGTTTCTTTGAAAATTGGTTTGCGTGACCACTGGCTACACTTCCTCCTCCCTGACCAAGGCTTTTCTTGCCTAGACCAGATGGACGACTGTTGGAAGACAAACTTCTTCCACAACAATAGAGCTCGCTGCCCAACACAGTCGGATGTCGCAGGTCTGCTGAGGGTTCTTTGAGCTTCTTACTGTGGCGTTAACACTGATCTGTTGAGCTACTAGTTCACCTTCAAGTTTAATGCTAATGATGGAAGTCTTATAGGCCATTTGTCATGTGATCAAGTAGTTAAAAGTTAGTTGAAAAAGTCATGATAACTATTATATTCATGTCTGACACAAAGAAATGGAAGTCTTGTTGCCTAGATAACCACTGAATGTATTTGCCACACAGCCATTAATCAGTAAAAGACTTTCTTCACTGAATAAAGTTTGAAGGTAAAAAAAATAAAGTCATTGAATGTCTTAATTTAACCTTTATTTATACACAAAGTCTCATTTACAAGAGAGACCTGTTCAGGCTTCAGGTTCAGATGAAACGGGGGAAAAAGTGAAATTTAATGACGGTTTCATAAAATAGACACTGAATCATTTTTATCTGCAGCTTTAATTTCAAAATACTAACCCGCTTTGGAAAATGTTGTTTTCTGACATTTGAGACGAACCAATAAAAAAGATCAGCAGATAAATTAGTAACGTAAAAAGATGTGAATTTGTCCCGTTTTTCTCCCTCAAAAAATAGATTTACTTGGTTATTTTAACACTTGGGTTCGAAACAGATGTGCCTTTCAGATTTTCAGATCTGCGGTTTCCCCCTTTGCGTTCCAGCGGCTGCTGTATCAGGCAGGCTGGATTTGGCCGTGCCCAGCGGTCGTTGGTAATTGAATGATTTGCAGCGGCCTTAACTCATTTATGACGCTTTCCTGCTCAATTTAACCTTGCCTCGCTCATCAATATTGCCCCGTTGGCCTCCTCGAATGGACAGTGGATGCTCATCGAGCTGCTCCCGGGTCTTATGGAGGTCGGATCTGAGAGGCTTTTGTTTTTTTAGGAGCTTCTTCTGTTGCTGGCTTTTTTTCTTTTTTTTTATCCCTCCGCTCGTCACTGAAACTGATTCGTGTCTTGCGTGTAACTGATGTTCCATCTGCTCTCTCTTTCAGTTCCTCGAGGTGTGATCCAAAATGGCGCCCGTGTCAGGAGCCAGGCCCTCTTCCCTGTTATCAGACCCTTACCTGTAAGCCCTGTGGGGAGCAGAACCTCGGCCATAAGGTGGGTAAACTTTGCTCCTGCTGCCTTCAAACGTATAATTAACACCAGCGGGGGCTGCACAGACGCATTCCCTCTCCCACAGACACGCCTGCACCTACATGCAGTGGCACAAAGCTCGGGGAGCTCCCAAATTTTCCACTGATAGTTTACATAATTACATCTTTATTGTGCTCGAAAGTCAGAGGCGTTCACACGCTTCCCGCCGTGCACGACGTTTCATCCAGGTGTGTTTATATAATGGCCTCTCGCAGACACACAAACACAAACAGGTTTATTAGAGGGAGAGGCCTCGTGATTCAAAGAACATTGGGAGCATGCACGGACATGCACATCCATCACAGGAGCACGAGAGTATGATGGCCTGCACTGCATAATGAATTAAACATACCCGAAAGGCTCACTAAAGGTTTGCAGTGAATATTTGATCACTGTAAGGGAGTGCATGTTTTTCTTATGAGATATTAACATGCTCACGCTCTCATTCTGGGGGGAGGGGGGGATGTCCGGGGGGACAGGGCACGCTGCTGAAGCTACTTTTTGATTTATGGGTTGTCAGGATTACCCCCCACCCCACGCCGTCCTTTGACGCTTTACAGCGAAAAGTGTCTCCCGACTAATAGAGCAAAATGCGCGTCGCAGTGTAACGAGGACGAACAGTTAAACGGCCTCGCCGCAGAATCGTCACCGTCGAGGCGCTCTGACTTTAGAGTTCGCAAGGTTCTTTATGTGCTGAGCAACCTTCGAGACAATGGGCGCTGCTAAAAATGCACTGTGTCATTGGGGTGGGGGGCGCGAAGGTGGCAATCTGAAAATGAGGCAGCTCGTTTCTGAAAAGGAAGGCTGAGTCTTTGTGAAATACGGGCTTTTATCTGACCTCAGAAATATGCGCATGAGGCCCGAGGGAGCTATTTGTGGCTGATAGATTAGAACCTGAACTTTCTTTCTAGTAAAGCAGAGAAGCTTGAGTGTCAGTGGAGGGAAGCAGGTCCAGGCAGGCAGCCCGCCTGGCAGTGTGACAGCACGAGTAACGTTATTCTCTCCCGCTCTGTGTCCTCGATCCATACAGATCATCCCTGGGCGATTATCTAAGCCGAGGACAGGACAGCCCAACCTGCTACTCTCCTCCGCCCTGCGGCGAGGACCTCCAGGACGACCACACTTACAGCACCGCCAAATCCCCCAGCAGGCTGTGCTCCTCCCAGGTCACCTCCCCTTCCTCCCCCGTGGACGACGACGACATTATCGCCGTGGAAATCCAATCAGACGTCAAACCCGAGCCCCGGGAGATCCCACTGGACTCTCACGTCACCACTGCCGCCACCACCACTACCTACATTTCCCAGCAGCCCCCGCGCGGACAGAGACGTAGTTTGGGGGGAGCCGGGACTCTGGCTGGGAGCAGTTTGCCCTGGACCAAAAGCCGAGCGAGAGGCATTAGTGACACGCTGCCGCTGAAGAAGCGGCGCGCGGCGACGGTGGAGAAGCCGCCGGAGAGCGACGACGAGGAGATGAAAGAGGCGGCGGGATCGCTGCTCCACCTGGCGGGGGTTAGAGCCTGCCTCAACAACATCACAAACCGCACCGCCAAGGGCCAGAAGGAGCAGAAAGAGGCCCTGAGAAACTAAGACACACACACATAGAACAAAGCATAGACACACACACAGACGGCTTATAGCTCCAAGCACACACACAGATTTACACACACACACACACAACTAGGTCAACAGGTAACATTACTACAGCATTAGTCTCAACGGACACTTGTCATCTCCCTCTATCTATCTGCAGGGCATTAGGTGAATCCTACTTATTTGTGGCAATATCAAAAATCTATGTTTTCCTACATGTTCAGCAACACTAAACATCGATGGGTATTTCTCATATGTCTTTGTTGGTTTTTTGTTGTTTAAAAAGGGGATGAAAGCCATAAAAAAAGGAAAAAACAAAAGCACGTTTTGTCACTAATTTGGACGAGCGCGACAAAACCGAGTCACGTTGCCGGGAGGGGGAGGGCGGGAGCTGATGATGGCTGTTTGTCTTACCTGTTTGTTTCTATGTGAATCTGTAGCAATCTTGCAGTGATGCCGGCAAAGGCGGGTCGGCCGCCCGCCGGCATCACTCTCCTACATCCACGAGCACAAATGTGAGACTGTGCCAAAGATAAGCGACCAGGTTGCTTCATGTAGCCGATACGACAGCTGACAAGAAAAAAAACAAACACAAAAAAAGTTCAAAGATGGCGTAGTAGAGCTAACGAGAGAGAGCGAGTGACCTTAAGTGTGGAAATAAATGTAAAACCCAATGTGATATATATTCATGCACTTATTTTACGCCACTTATAATAAAAAGCATCATGGGTAAAGACATGGTTTATTTCAAGAGCACTCATAGTATTTAAGAATAAATATATTAAAATTTAAAAAAAAAGGTCATGTTTTATCACCATAGAGACGGATAGTGTGCCGGGTCTGAGGCAATATCTCCTTCATTTTGTTGTTGTTGTTGCATAATGTAAAACCTCCTCCCTCCACCCCCTCGTACTTCTCTCCATTAGACGACGTAGACACCTGGTATAGATATCATAGCTGCCAGGAGCTGCCACCACCTTCCTCTTCATTTGACAAAGAACTATATACATGAACTGTGGGTTTAGGTTTCTGTTTGTGTCTGTTTACCCTCACTCTACCCTCATAAAGATATAAGCAATTTGCCCCTGTGCGGGCAACTCTGTAAAAAGGTTAGAAAATATTTTATTTTTTTCCTTTTTCTTAATTGAAGCAATTTGACCTGCAGGACTTTCTCAGTTATATTGCATGGGTGCTTGTAAATAAGATAAAAAGCAAATCTTTTTTATTCAAAGATCATGTAAGATAAACGATGTATTTAGCATGAAGCATGACTTATTTTCATATAAACCTTGATCCTAGAGGAAAGAAAAAAAAAGTTTTGCCGCCAATTCTTATACCCGTGATTATATTGGAGATTTTCTTTTCTTTTTTTTTTATTTCGTCTCCTTGTTTTTCTGAGCGGGCTTTCAAAGACACGTCTTCAGGGAGGAAACGTGGGAGATCACTCTGCAATTAGAGGCCCAAAGGACGCCACCTCTGGGCTTCGGGTTCAGGCTTATAACGTAGGCCAGCTGAAACACCTCTTGGGGGGGTGGGCTTACGACAACTTCTGCCTGTACAGTGATTTCTTTTATTTTTTTTATTTAATTGTTTTAGGTGTTCAATGTTAAACCCGGTGTTATCCCAGAACACGTCTGTGGAGTGTGTGCGTTTGTGTGCCCAGGAACACACACCCTTTAACATCGTGCCTGCCTGCCTGCCCTCAGTACCTCTGTTGTCACGACAGAACCTGTCTTTATTTATAACAGTATTGTTTTTACTTTTACTTCAGTGTGTAAATGTACGCGTGTCCTTCCTCTCCATCGGCATTGTTCGGTGTAAATGTTTGAAAGGGGCGCGGGAGACCTTGTAGATGCCCTCATATCTCCAAGAAAAGAAAAAAAAAAGACGACATGGGAAGGGGACGTTTCTTTTCTCTGATTTACAGACAGTATTTTTAACCCCAGGTGCATCATGGCTAAAACGGGAATGCGCGCACACGTATTATCCGACCCTCGTCTGCGTATAAAATAAAGCCGCTTTTTAGGTGAAAACGTAGGCTGGGCTTTGGCTGTAGCAGCAGAGCCAGACGGGGGAGAGGTGGGGTGGGGGTTTGTTTGAGCTGAAGAGACGTTGAACGATCGTCAGCGAGCCAAGCGGGAGGAAAACAAATGCATGCCCCCATCCACCGGCACAGTCTTTCGCCACCTGTAGCATGCATCACTGGCCTTGCATTTTGTGTGGTACCCATAAAGAGAAAAAAGAAAAAAAAAAGGGGGGGGGGGTAAAGGAGACACTGTTAGTGTTGTCGTTGTGTGCCATCTGTCTGTCGTCTGATGTGTGTCTGAGTGCTCCCGGGTCAAGCACTCTGCTGTATTCGATGTACCAATCCGCCGCTGTGGTGACTAGTAACCGCGTTGAGTTGGCAAGAGGCATGTCGAGGGGGTAGAACGTGTCGCTTTAGCAGCGCACGTTTGTTTTTTGGGGGTTTCTGCCTCGGGCTCACTCTGTGACATGCAGGAAAGAAGATCTGTTCACCTCTGAGTCCTGGTAAAACACATGAACTGTACCTGGACGTATTAAAGCAAAGTGCATCCACTTCACTGCCTGAAAAGCCCCCAAACAGCAAAGTGTTTTCTTTCAAACCTGCCAAACGTACCACAAAAAGCTCCTAGAAGAATAGTTGCCATTATTCTTATTTTTTTATTATTTGTTGACGTTTTTACGCGCCTTTTAAATTTTCCTGTTTCTTTTTGTTTCTCTCTCTCTGACAGACTTATCTATAATACTGCCATTATTTTATTTTTTCCGTGACTGTCTGAGCTGAATATTGGAAAGCCATAGGTTAGAGATGTCAAAATGCAAAACTGTTATTGATCTGTGCGATGTGATGCAGGGTACACCCAGGTGTTGTTTTCTTGTTTTCTTCTTCTTCTTTGTTTTTTTCTTTTTCAGTAAATGTTCAGTTTTCTCCTTATTGTGCAAATCATATTGCCAAAGAATGATTTCAAGACCTATTTCATCACTACATGTAAATATCAACGTTGTCCAATACCGTGGCAAAAAATATATAAATGTTGTTTTATTTTGTTTTCCATTTTCTGAGAAACTACAATGATGTTTATGTGATGTATTGTCTTCCAGTTGGTTGCAATAATAAAAAAAAATACGAGTTGCAGAAGCTACGCTTGGCTGTTGTTCTTCAGTGGATATCATGCAAGACAAAAGACAAAAGCATAGTTACAGTCGGAGATACGGACGTCAACTGAAGTGGCACCGCTGTTACTCATCCAGTGGGCAAATCTCACACAGTACTGGGGGACATAAAGTATCAGGCAACCCTAATTTCTTTATATTTCGATAAAGCGATGTGAAATAGGTGCAGCAATTTATGTGCAAACATACATGGAAAAAAATGATTTTGCATAATTCAAACGAGCTCAAAACTCAATATTTGGAATGACCACCTTTATTTATGGGCCACCAAACTTTGGAAAAGTGCACTATTGCTAAAAACCATCATCGAACTCAGGTGTTCCAATCACTTCAGTGGTCACATGTGTATAAAAGTTAGCATCTATGCATGCAGACTGCTTCTGCAAACATATGTGAAGGAATGAGTTGCTCAGTGAGCTCCAGCGTGATAGGATGCCACCTGTGCAACAAGTTCAGTCATGAATAAAATGTTCTCTCTACTAAATGTACCACCGTCAGCTATTCATCTATTAATGGTGTTATAACAAAATGGAAGTGATTGGGAATGCAACTCAGCTACAAAGTGGTAGGCCACGTAAACTCGCTGAGCGGAGTCAGGACATGCTGACTTTCCACAGAGTCAGTCACTACAGACCTCCAAACTTCACGTGTCCTTCAGATTAGCTCAAGAACAGTGCGCAGAGAGCTTCATGGACGGGTTTCCATGGCTGAGCAGCTCCAGCCAAAGATTACATCACCAAGCACAATGCGTCAGATGCAGTGGTGTAAAGCACGCTGCCACTGGACTCGTGTTCTCTGGAGAGCACGATTTCTTTGTAGTACAAGAGTCCAGGTGCTGACCTGGTCTGTCGACAGACCTTTGCCCATCAAGCTGTGCTATCTTGGGCATTTTTGTAAGACTTTAATTAATTATATGTTTTTGCAACAGACTGCCAGTAGCAAAGTACCTTAACATACTACTAAAAATAGGTTCTTTGCTAAGGCATCTGTTTTAGGTGCAACACTGGTTAATTTCTTCAGTTGCCTTATATTATTCTTGAATGATGCTTAGGTCAGTGTTAAACAGCTCCTCTGAAAATGGTCAGGTACAAGGACTGGACTGGAAATGACTGAAAAAGCACAAGAAAACTTTGAAATCCCACTTTGAGCCCACCTTGAATTTCTCTTAAAAATTCGAGAAAATCTGGCTCCTTGGAAGCAAAATAAAATAATCTAGAAATTAAGTGTCTCGAGACTTTTGCACACTGCAAGCCCATTTGCAACCCACCTCCACCACACATAAACTGCTGTAAATCAACCATTCTGAGTTTTGTTAAGAACATATTGACTGGAAGCTGATCAGAGTACTAAACAATTAGCTGTTTTCATCTCAGCACTTCAAGTGAAATGTAGTAAAGGATGTCAGCCTTTGTCATCCACCTCCTCAGCACCACACACAAACCCACACTTACTAGTAGAGTGCTACCTTTGTGATACTAGAGACTCTAATTTGCTCTCAAGACTGACCCCAATCATTAACCTCACATATTCCCATCAACAAGGGTCTTATCATAACCAAGCCTTTCCCGCCAGTTAATTATTCATTTGCTTCCTCTAATCATTTAAGTTCAATACTTCTGATTAAAGTCCTGCTCCCCCTCCCTAAGGGAAAGAAGTAAAAGAGTTAAGTGTACCAAAGAGTGCCTCAGTGTCTTATCAATCTGAGTGGTGCCATTTTGGAGCCGTGTGGCAGTGGAAGCCCATTCATAATTGAAGCAGAGACCGGCTTAATCTTGAGCCAGTGCCTCCCTGTGCAGCACGCTCCCACCACAACACAACTGGAGCTAGCAGCTCCTCTGTTGCTATGCAACTACAGCGAAGAAGAAGAGGGGGGTGAGAAAAGAAAAGTGTGCATTCTGTGGATCTTTAGAGGGCATCTTACTACTCAGTTACAGAGAGTGAGACTCAAAGGTAGCGACAACATTTCATGGATAACGTGGCTTCACGTCTGATGAAATCTCACATTCAGAAGCACAGATTAAACAAAGTCTTTTTCCTATCATGTCACTTCTTTCCTCTTTTTCCCTCCCCAACTGTTCTCCACTGGAAAAGGTTTAAAGTGAATCCAAAAGCACATCCTTGTCAGGGGCGGACAGGCCTTTAATTTCATCTCAGTGAACTAAATGAAATGAATTCAGGTGGTGTAATATGCCATTTCAGAAGAGCCACACTGAACCGCTGAGTGGATTGATGCACGCGGAGAGCTGTGTGCTCCCCGGTCTATATCATCCATATCCTCAGAATGACCAGCGAGGCAAGTTTCCATGGAGACAGAAGTGGAGGTAACGTTCTCTTGTCAGCTCTCATTTATTGCAAAGCTTTATTGTTTTTTGTGGGGGGTAAATTTCCCCTTTGGTAGTCAGGGCAAGTCTGTTTCAGAGCAAGCAAACAAGGCCAGTGGATGTTGCTCATCCAAAAATTCACTTAAATCTGCTTTTATTGAATAACGTGGAAAACAGTTGCGTGTTTTACAAAGTGGATTGTGTGAGTGTGAGTGTGTGTTTGAGTGTGAGTGTTGAAATGTGGAAGAGAGAGCCTGTTTTCCTGGTGCGTGGTGTGATCACCCTCTTGTGGTGGCACGATGTTACTACATAAAGCACACTGGCCCCACAGAGAAGCATTACAGGTGCAGTTACGAAGCTGGTAAAGGTCAGACTTGTTTAAGAGGCACCTGTGTCGCATGAAAGTATTAAAGTGTGGACCAGTAGTGAAAGAAGCATTCAGATCCTCTGCTTAGGTAAAAGTAGTGCTGAGCTAACACAAGGTCCAACGATTAAGTGCAAAAGTCAATTAAACTGTTGGTGTTGTTACAAGTGAATACATTAAAAAATTATTAGCACTATTTCTTAAATAGCCTTTATGCATTATATGTGATAAGAATATCATGTTTTTCCTATTAATAATGGTTACATCTATAAACATGTTGGCACTGACAACTGTATAGTGACAATAAAGGCATTCTGTTCTATTCTGTTCTATATGTATATTGTTTAAAATATTATATTTAATCTGCAACAACCAACCTAGACAAAAGCATTTCTCCAAACATGTTGAATAAAACTGTTAACATTAAAGGAGACATACTATTTCTTGATATTTATTATTATTGTTGGGCTATACTAGTGCAGCTTTACACGAGTCATAGTTTTAAAATAATCTGTATTTATCTTATAGTGGTCTTTGGTTTATTCGCTTTCTAAAATGAGATGCTTTAGGTTCTGATTGGCAGCCCCTCAGAAACCCCTGAGAAAACCTATCTAAAGCCACCCCAAGGCCTGAGCTTTTAGCTCATGATTTGTACATATGCTGAAGGCATTATTTGAATGTTTTCCCATATTTAATATGAGCATCCATCATTACAGCATACAGTTCCAATATATGATGGAAAACAGGAAAAAGAATAGAAAGAAAAAGAAAGAAAAAATGAAATAAGTTAATTTAAAATGATTTAGCTATATGCTAATAGGCTTTTATTAGCATTTTAAGTAACCAGCTACTTTTATCTAATTAATTCCTCTATTTTTAATTCATCACATGGTTCGTAATACTTACACTTTCCCTGACTCAATAAACAAGATCACAGAGCATTAAGCTAATGCGATCACTGAGGATTCAGTTCCGTTTTCTAAAAAAAACAAACAAGTATTATTAAACTACATTTCCCATGAGCGGCTCTATTGATTGGTTGTCATACTCCGCACGAAATCTCGCGCTATGTGCGACCTGACCCTGCCCTATGTCTCGCGCACTCGCAGCTTCTTCGCTCAGTATATAAAGCAGGACAACGACGGAAGGAGGACGGCTGGGGAGTCGCAGCCCGGGATTGTAAATAAGACCGCCTAAACTGTGTTTTATTTACAAAAGTGATACCGGCTGTTTTAAAATATCTTTCCCAGTTGTTTTAAATCGTTTTTCGTAATTTTTGGCTCTATTCCTCGCCTATTTCCGTGTGGTTTTTACACTACGCGTATAATGGCGAGCTCGGCTAACTCGAACCCAGTGGTAAGGATCAATCTCTAAGGATTGTCAGCGGGGGAAAATGGGGGTAAAGTTATTGGAAAGCTGTCGACGAGCTGGTTTTATGTATTACAGTAAAATGAGTCTGCTTTAACAAACACTTCACTGTTATATCTATTAAAGGGAATACTTAAGTTTCAGTCAATCGGCCATTATAATTAGTTTTCGAAACTAGGTAGTTCTTTCATTTCAAACCATCTCGGAGGAGGAATGGCTTACTTTAGAGAGGCAGTGTTTGAGTAAAAATAAGAACACGTGTAGAAACTGAGGTTTAGCGATGAAGATGTAATTCTAATTTAGTGGTTTATCGGCAGGTTGAAGCTTTCATTAGTTGGAAGGTTACTTTACGTGATCACAGTCTAATAGCGTGTATGGCTAAATTCATTTTTGGTGGACGCTTGAGCTGCCAGGTTGTCTAAAATGCTTGTTTGTTCGTAGGAGGAAGAAATTGTCAATTTAAGCTTTTATTATTGGATAGCTTATGAAATACAGATGTACGCAAAGCACATTGTCATCATTCACGGCGAGAGAATTGAGCGTTTAATATATATATAGTTTATATAAATATATATATATTAAAGCCTCCTCAGTAGAAAGTCGTCAACTGCCTCATCATTGTCCACCATTCCACGACCAGAAGGCAGGGTAGCCGTCCCAAACCACTTCTTTAACCCATACCATATCAAATTTGTCCTTGCTACCTGCCAGCAGAGCCAAAAAATATTTAGCCAAAGCTGAGCACTGATAAGATAAGACACCGAAAATGTCCTTCACATTCCGCCACACACTATTTAAAAGAAAAAGGCTGTCGAGCGCGCACTCTGCGGCTCCGTAAAATGGCTTCCTCGTCTCCCTTCTCTCTCGGTTCTGGCCCTCCTCCTTTTCGCTGCCTGGTTTTTATACAGCCATATTGGCTCTCTAATATAGACTGCCCGGGATGGGAAGGTGCTACTCGACGCTACGTCACCGGCTCTACATATAAACAGCAGACTGAGCTTTAAATAGTGAGGAGCAGACAGGCCGAGGGGGAGGGAAGGAGAGACCGAGGTCTGCGCTGCGGACATCGGGGCAGCGCAGTGCGGTGGCCCGCGCGTGTGTCGCTTTGTTTCAGCCTCATATCACTCCGCTGAGACGGGACCGTTGGGCCCTGGCGGAGCTATAAACGTTATGTTTGCTTTTTCCAGCGCGCGCGCAGTTCAGACCCCGGGGACATGATGTTTACCTTAGTAGTAGTAACATAAAGAGCTAGTTTATATGGGTTAGCATAACAAGGCACGTAGCGCCGTGGAAACGCTGCAGCACGAACCCCCACACATGATACTCAAGTGGGGGCAGTTTTAGAGTTTAGCTGCCCGCGTGCAACAACTATTACCGTGTCACACCAATGAAAGTCAGTGTGGCGAGGCGTAAATAAATGTGATAATTATAACACCATCAGCTGTATACTTGATGTTTTGTTGTCGTTTTGGCAGCTGGGAAGCCCAAAGAGGAGGTGTGTTTGCTAAGTACACTGTTGAGGGCTAATTTTGACATAAAACCCAAGCTCATAATGATCAATACTGACTGTACCAGACATGTTGTTCATGCTTTACTGGGAAAAGCAAAAGTGTCTCTAATATAAACGCCATACTGTAAAAGTTTCTTTCCTCTTTTCTTCTTTTTTTCTTCCTCACAGCCTAAATTATACAAGAATGTGATTGACGATGTGATCAATGAGGTGCGAGAGCTGTTCCTGGACGAGGGAGTAGATGAACAAGTTCTTCTGGAGCTGAAAACGGTAACCGTCCCTGTCATTGTTGCGCCTGCATATAGCAACTGCAGGGGAAATGCCGCCTCCTGCAGAGGTGTGCGCTCTTTGTAGTAAAGTGTACTGTAGCACGCTCCCCCAAACCAGAGCGCTTTGGAATAACTGCTGACCACTTCCTAGTTTGGAAGCTGTTGTAGTTGCTGTCTGGATGGACAGAAAACAGACTTCTGGAAACTTTCTGATTAACTCACAAAAATGTCATTCATGTCTTGTGCCCTGCCCCCCGTTACCATGGTTTCCTTTGATGGATGGTGCTCTCACTGCCACTGATGTGTTGCAGAATTTGCTTTGCAGCGATTTCTGTATGAGTTTTCTGGTGCAATCACCACCTTATATTCCAGTGTGACTTTCAGTGTTGCTTTACTGTTATAACACCTGCGTATGCCTGTGAGAAGGTGGTGTCTGAATACCATTGAAATGACAACTCAAACAGTGTGTACACTGCATGATATGCTCAATTCAAGAGGAGGCTATGGCACATAAGCCTACTAGGCAATGTGATTGACACAAATAAGCAAAAAATTCAGTCTTAGCTTCATGGATTAAACCAGTTTATTTAACCTCACTTTGAGTCTGTGACCCATTAGTTAATATTGATGTCTGGCTCTCTTCCAGAGTCTCTTTTACCTGGTCCCCCCCCCCCTGAGCCTGGTTGTGTTGGAGCTTCCTTCCTGTTAAAAGGGAGATTTTCCTTCCCATTGTCACCAAACACTTGCTCATAGGGGGTCGTCTGTTAGGTTTTCTCTGTATTATTGTACCTTACAACATGAAGCACCTTGAAGGTGACTGTTGTTGTGACTATAAAAATAAAACTGATCGGTGTGATGCGTTCACAGGTGTGTCGATAATGACAGAATCTGCGCTAAACATTTACCTGGATGGAGATTTTCATTTGAAAACATGTTAGCATGGATTTAAATGGAGTCTTTGGCAGCTTTCTAACACATGTCTTTGTGCTGCCTCCGTTTGTCTCTACAGCTATGGGAGAACAAGCTTTTGCAGTCCAAGGCAGTGGAGGGCTTCAACACTGACGAGCAGAAAGCCCTGCAGGCCGCACAGCAGCAGCAACAACAGGTTCAGCAGGTCCAACAAGTCCAGCAGGTGACCCAGCCAGCTCAGTCCCAGCAAGTCATCCTGCCACCCCAGCAACAGCAAGGTTAGCCAGCAGTGGCACAGTGGTAAAAACATTTCTGAACAAGTGCAAAAACCCGTGAACGCCTTTTTGGGCACTAAAAATGTCGCCTGCAGCTTTGAGTTATTTGCCAAACTGGCACAGGAAACAATGAATGCTTACTGATCGTGTGCATTCTTTGTACATTTTATGAAAAATATGAGGAATTGACCTGAAAATGTTTGTCTCCGCAGCTCCCCAGCAGCAAGTCATTGTTCAGGAATCTAAGCTTATACACATGGGTGGAACGGGGATGGTGAGTGGATCATAGCACCAAAAATAAATGAAACTGTTGTTCGGGGAGGCATATAACAAGTAGCAAATGTGTTTATTAACAGACATAGGTGATGCGATATCCATATGTGTGATGAACAGAACGAAGTGCTCCTCATTTTACGCTTTTAACAAATTCAGACATATTTTCTTTGAGTAGAAGTGAGAAACCAGAGAGGGTCTCTGCAGGCGTCTTCCTTAGTCCAGAATGATTGATCAAGTGTCACACGGATGGGGCAACAGGACTTGGAAGAGATTAACGGACTATTTTAATAGCCAGGACTGCAGTGGATATAAGCCAGCAGTAATGCATCCTCCCACATGCTACTGCTGTGTCTAATACGCGCTGACAAACACACCTTTCCTTCATCGAGTGAAATATGCAGGAAATCTTTTCCACTTTTTTCAACAGCACATGTTTAACGCAGCATCTGTCCATATGAAGCCTTCATCTCTGCTGCTGCTTCTTTCTGTTTTCTGCAAGTGATTTTTGTATAATCCTCAAACGGTTCTTCAAAGCTTCACTTGCCAATTTTTAATCGTTTTCCAGTGGCTTTGTAGATGCAGCGAGAGGACAAACATGCTGCTTTTATCATGTCAGTCAATGCAATCTGAAGTTCAGTGCTTTAAATTGTAAAGAAGTTCAAAAACATTAAGTACTTAACATTGAAGTCTTTCATTCTTGAACCCTGAAATCCTCTGCTTCTGTATTATTTTGCATGCTTGTCACCGCGTGTGTTCTTCTTTCCTCCTCTAGAGTGCAGCAGCTACCGCAGCAACCCTGGCTTTGCCCACAGCGGTCACCCAATACCAACAGCTCCTCACCAGCCAAGGTAAAACATGTTTATTTGCATTAAATTGCAAAGAAATGCTCCTTTCTCTCTGAACTATCTTCATGTGTAAAACTATATTTACACAACGTGCACCCACACGCTTTGTTTTGACGTCTCAGGCCAGATCCTGCAGTTAGTCCGTGGTCCCAACGGGGCTCAGTACATCATCCAGCCCCAGCAGCAGATCCTCCTGCAGCAGCAGATGCAGCCTGGTGGCGTGCAGGCACCGGTAATACAGCAGGTAAGAACTGTCATGCAGAGGGGCAGGGCTGCATATGACAGGAGGAAATGTGTGTGAAAAACAAAGCCAAATGGAGAGAGGTGGGGGAAAAAGTCGTGGTGTGTCTGATTTATCTGCATAATCAGTTCAGTGTCCGTTTGTGACAAGTAGGTTAAATAAGGCTACATATCTGTGGGCCCTGTGGCTCTGACACAGTGGAAGAATCAATTCTTGGAAAAATAACCTCGAAATATGTAAGAAGTGCCATGAAAAACATGAAATGATTCTGGGAAATCGGGAGGATGCTGATTGCTCAGAGCTTACCACTTACCCCAAAAGAAATAGATCCATGACTCCACTACTTGTGACTTTTCCTAAATAAAAACACAGATTCAGATCAAAACTAGTGCCAAATTTCATTCATTCAGTTTAAATTGAGTCGGTTAAAATGTTGCAAAAGTGTTGTGCATATTCAGGTGAAGATCTTGTTTTAAAATAGAGTTTACATGTCGTGTTTGGGGTTTTTTTCCTTCTCTAATATCTGTTTAGGTTCTGGCTCCTCTGCCAGGAGGCCTGTCCCAGCAAGCAGGAGTCATCATACAGCCGCAGCAGATTGTCTTAACCCCAGGAAACAAAGTCCAAGGCAATACACAGGTCAGAACTTCAGTTCCTCCTGCACTCATTCCATTTATATGGAAGTAGTTTATGCTCTATAGTAGTGTTTCCTCCATTTCTGTTCTCTTTGTTGTTTAGAGAAATTAGAGTCTGTTTAATGTTTTAGAGGAGCGTCTGGGGAAACCTTTGTTATTAATAATAACACCTGCACTGTGAAAGCATCGCGCATCAGTCAGTGTCACAGATCAGCCGATTACACTGACAAACAGCATTTCCACTCAGATGTAGTTTTGGTGTGAGCAACTATGGAAAGATTTGGTTAGCTGGCCAGTGTAACTGAGCTACACTGCAGAAATCTGCAACGTTAGCTTTTAAATCAACAGGCTAACATTAGCTCAGAGCAGAGGTCTTCCCTCCACGAGTTCAGTTCTTTAATAACTTTTTCTTTCAGCTGTTAGCCAGCATTAGCTTACTTGCTAACACAAACAAATATCTTGACACCCAACATGGCGACTAGCTGGCTGACCTTATCTTTGCTACAAAAATGCTCCTTGAAGTCGCATCATTTTTGCTGTCCTGTCCTTATTTTGGCTTTGAGTTGGAGTCTGTTGTGTAAAGAGCTGGTTATTTTGTCCCACATGAAAGCAATGCTAACATCATATGGGCGTACATGTTTTTAAACTCTGAGTTTCTTTCTACCGTCAGGTGATGCAAGCAGCAGCTATGGCGCCACAGCCCAGCCAGGCAGCAACAGCTCAGGTCCAGCAGGTCCAGCAGGCCCCAGGAGCGACTGCACCACAAGCCTCAGCGCAGCCCCAGGCCCAACAGCAGCAACAGGCCCAGCCTCAGGCACAGCAGCCTCCCATGATGCTGCAGGTGGACGGAACCGGGGAGACGTCTTCAGAAGAGGACGAGGATGAGGAGGAGTACGACGAAGATGACGATGAGGAGAAAGACAAGGATGGAGCAGAAGATGGGCAGGTTGAAGAGGTGAGCAAGGGAGGAAATAAGAGTGTTCAAAAACTCGCACGTTAAAGTAGCAGTAGGCAAGAATTTTATGGTCATTTAATATGAAGTAAGAAAGCCGTAAACTTGTAGCACTGATGTTTCTGCTCCTCTTCAGAGCTTTTGTTTTCCAGAGTAGCTAGCAGTAGCTTTCCACAGGTAGCTGCCGTTAAACCCCGAAGAAGAAGAAGCTGTGTCCCAGAATTCATAGCGCAGCCCAGCTCAGTTTCCAACAATGGCGGCAGCTAGTTAGTTTTAATGTTACTCTTATTATTCTTTCTGGGTCACAAAATAAACGTTTAACATATTTTCAGGGAGAATGTAGCTGTGTAAACCTCAAATATCGGCTCAGTTTATCAAGACACCGCATATTTTCAAAAGCGCTCCGACGTTTTCGGAGACGTCTGTTACCCACTAGCTCGATAGCTAGGCGGAGGCTAGGCTAACTAGAGCCGTGAGAACACCGGACTCCCGGCAAATCGTTTTCAAACCCACCGCCGTCTTTTGCTACTCAGGTTAAATATATATGAGTCACTTAGATAACTTAAACATGTTGTTATTTGGCTTTTTTTTAGTATTTTATTTGTTCCTGAGTAAATCGGTTTGGCTGAGATTAAAGTTATAGTTTTTACACAGCTGAATAAACGTCAAGCAGACAGCTGATTATCAGAAGTGTGAGATGCTCGAGAATTTACTCCAGTGTCCTGTTATAGTTTAGAAAGCAAGGAGTTTATTAAACTTCACCGAAACAATCTGCAAATTTCATTAAAATTTAATAAACGATCATCTTGTCTTTATTTTTAGTTAGCACCTTAAACACTTAAAGCTGTAAGCTAATGATAGTTATATAAGAGGAGATGCTGCTGGTGCAATAAGCTGTAGTTTTATGTCCAATGGATGATGATCTGATTAGTCGACTATCAAAATAATCGTTTGTGGCAGCCCTACTACAAAGGTTACTCTGTAGTTTGTGTGGCTTTTCTGCAGAAGATTTTATAACACAGCAGGTTATATTTGGCACTGTTTGGTATCGGGCAAAAAGGAGAACGGGTTTAAAATCAAACTATTACTTGTTGCAATCTAGATTTGTGCTTTTACTGTTTAAATAAAGAAAATCCTGAATCTTAAGCCACGTTCCTGAGCAGCAAACATTTGTGATGAATCTGATTGGTTTGGTTTCCTACTCAGGAGCCGCTGAACAGTGGAGACGACGTCAGCGACGAAGAGGACCAGGAGCTGTTTGAAACAGACAACGTAGTGGTGTGCCAGTACGACAAGGTAGGAACTGATATATTCTGAAAGGCTGCAGTGTGTTCAAACCTGCCTGTGTATAAATATGCGAGTGCCTCTTTGGTACTTTTATGACATGTCTTGATATAGATCCTCCTGCGCTGGGGCCCGTTGGCTTTTATGCATATCCGACTCATTTAGTTTCACATCAGCATCCAGACAAAGACGTTAACGCTGAGATTTGCAGAAGCAGTGAAAACAAAGAGATTATAAAATAACAGCGCAGAGCAGTTTTACCGTGTTAATGTGATTGGTACTCAGCATCGCTGTCAGCCTTTGTTTGCCAGTATCATTCAGGGCGCTGGAAAGGCTGCTGTAGATTGAAGGACGGGGCTTAAACAGTTTTCACAGCAGCCTCCTCGTTTTTGGGGGAAAATGTCAGAAATTGTTAAAGAGGTATTTCACATTCCCTTGTTGTGAGTCTTCACTGTTTGCCTTTGATTCCCATCACAAAGCATCGAGTTGTTACATTATTTGATGTTAATTCAGTGGAGAAAGGCTCCAGCAGCGGTTAATGCCACAGTGAGTTTGTCTGGCCTCGGCGCAGAGGCTAAAGACATCAGCCTGCGTCCACTGTAAGCTGAAACAATGTCCATCTGTCCTTGACGCCTACAACACTCATTTCCTTCTCTTTACTCTGCAGATTCACAGAAGTAAGAACAAATGGAAATTCCACCTGAAGGATGGGATCATGAATCTGAACGGGAGAGACTACGTCTTCTCCAAAGCCATCGGGGATGCCGAGTGGTGAAGCAGAAAAAGGAACGGGAGAAAGCAACAGGAGCAGGATCTCTGTAACTCCTATCCAGTTAACAGACAGTTTAGCATCCTTCCACATCCTGTGACTGGATTCATTCAGGAAACTGTTTCTGAGACTCAGAACTCTTGAGACAAACCCAAAGGACTGTGAGGTACTGTAAAACCCGGGTGTAGTCAGAAAACACTCGACTAGCCTTGCGGGATGAGAAACCAACAGAGGAAGGGAAAAGCCCCGTGAGCCGAGCGCCGTTTCTCTTTATTTCTTCTTCCAGGCTTCTCTGCCTTTCCCCCCCAGAGAATTCACCTAACTTTGGAAAGAAAGCATTTCACCATCATACAGGTGTAGAGGACCAGGGTGACCTCGGCTTCCCTGCCACACAAGGTCAGAGGTCATTCGTTATAACCCCATAGATGAGAAACACCTTTGCAATCACTGTAGTCGGTTGACTGGATTGACTCGTGTCTACGTTCGTGTCCAAACTTAGTGCCACCAGTCGAGATCGCTGCCTTTAGAACAACCAGAATCACCTGTTTTTGGCTTCTTTTTTTTATATCCTAATTCTGTCTGAATTCACGTTTATGAAAAAGGTGCTCCAGAGTGTTTTTATGTAGGCGACCTGTTCTTCAAACATTATGTTTTAAATGCGTTTAATGAAGGAGTTAAAAAGAAGGTAAAATAACATCACCTTACAATAACTCATTTTTTTTATCTTCGTCGCAGCACTTAACCCCCCCTCCCCCAGCACCCCCCCCACTGGCTTCTCTGGAGCTTCATTCCATCTTTAACGTTAAGAATAAAATAAAGATAAAAACGTGAGACACTGAATTCATTTAAGGATTGTACAAAGGTGTCTCAGTTTGTCCTGTTAGTGAATCGCCTTTGCTTTTATTTTTAGTTCTGCAGCCGTCGGAAATTTTGCACTGTCGGTTTATCAGTGTGTTGTGAAGTCAGTCAGTCCACTTAATCAATAGCCGCAGAGACGTGTGTGTGTGTGTGTGTGTGAGAGGGACTGTACAGACACGTGGTGAGTGTGTGTTGTTGTCGTCGCTGGTTTTCTGTGAAAAGGTTTCAGTTTATTTCTCTCACAGTCTGAAAATGTCACAGAGCAGTGAGGTTGGTGTCTGTCCTGTTTTTTCTATTTATTTCTGAAAGTTCATAAATTGTTTTTCTTTTTTTTAAGGTTGGAAAGCCGCACCGAACTGTGCTCTTATAATCTAACAAGTGTTCCTTTTTCTTTTCTTCTCTCCTTTCTTCTTATGTCAGCCTGATAAAAGCTGCACGGCGCTGTTTTCCAAACCATTTCGTCCACCGTATGTTCTCGTCTGCTTCCGTTTTATTCATGACTTTTAAACTGAGGATATTTTCTATCCAAGTGAGTTTAACTCGAGGGGGGGTTGTGTGTGTCTCTGCAGTTTGTTTTTAGTGCCCCTGTTGCAGCAGTTTGAAATAAAGTATATATGTGTTTTGACTGTTGTGTCGACGTGGTGCTTGGGTGGCTCCATAGTTGTTTTTTAGCTGCACAAAGAAAACCCTGATACAGGACCTGATGGAGAAAACAGAACATTTTTCACACGATTTAGTTGAATTATATGAAATCTTTACACGAAAGGCCAAAGGAAGACTTTCCACACACGGCCCCCAGTAGATATATTTCCTTTCCTCTGTTCGTCATTTCCATATGTAGATGTCGTGCGTGCCTTTTTGAACTTTAGTTCAGTTTTTGGTGGGGGGGGGGTCACAGATGCCAGACTGAGAAGGATGTCTTATTAAACTGTGCTCTATAACCATTTTGTCGTGTGTTCTGCTCTTCTGATGATTAATGAACTGTACTGTTGGTATTCGTGTCATTTTCCTAAATCAAGTTTGGAATCAAACTCAAGGTTGTGCTTTGAATACATAAAGTTGTCTTTTGCATAAAAAGAAAGAAAGAAAATTAAAATTTAATTTTTGCATTATTTTGTGGCTTAAATCAGTGTCACTCTCGCCCCCTCTGTTTCTTCCTCCCTTCTTTCTTCTGTGGTACCTGGTCAGCTTTTTGGTTCTGCGCTGATGAAAGCAAATTTATCGATTACTCGTGGGAGCATCTTGAACACTAAACTATTTAACTGTTATTTCAGTTACTTTTAAACTATTTTTGCTCACATTTTTAATCCTGTTGAGACTGTTTTTAACTGCTACTATTAGATGTGACTCGAGCGGTAGAGCAGGTAGTCTAATAATCAGAAGGTCAGCGGTTCCTCCAGTTTACCAGCTGGAGGGGTTCCTGGCCAAGATCATTAGGAAGTGTTTAAATATGTGTGTATAAAAGTTGCGCTTCACCAATTCACAGTCTCCATTTCCGATTTGTGTCACACTTCTTCTAGGGGAGTAGTTGGTGAGTGCAGACCTGGTATCGTCTGGAGCAATCTGTTAGCGGCCGAGGCAATCAACGGTTTTTGAGTCAGTACTGTGTACTCTTTAGTAAACGGTTTCATTTTGCACGTGAGATAGCATCAGTTTTCTGTGAGCGTCAACACACATTTTTCCCGGTGGTTGCCAGGGGGTCGTGAATCTCTAGCAAGATGGCAGTCAGTTTGATCGTGACCGCCTTCAGCCTCTAGCAGCTACTAGGATGCATCTTATCCTCACTAACGGTGGTTGGCAGGTGGTCATGGACCGGTCTTTAGTAGAACTGCAACTGCTACAGTGTTACACATTTGAAATAGTGGAAAATTAGCAGTCACATGACTGTAAATATATATGAGGTACATTGTTTTGTGTAGAGTGAGCCACATTTTACACATTAGGAATCAAGGCAGTTGAATCCATTGAAACTTTGAGTGACAAAGATGACAACAAGGACTAATTTCTTTTAAGCAGCGCCTCGGACAAACATCAGGAGCCAAACACTTTTGTTTCTTCTTTTCTTTCTGTAGTTTTAGTTGTTAAGTTGGCCCTCAATTTAACTCAAAGGAGCATGAAATGTCTTAAATCTATCTTGTCTTAAGCTGTAGCTAACTACAGTTATTTTTGTCTTTAGCAAACAGTTATCTTTTTGCTAACTTGCTAACCAGCTAAAGGCGCTCGGTGTCAAAGGCTTACTGTCTGACAGACAGCGGGGATTATCCTCCTTGCAGACATGGGTATCTGTAAACACCATTCATAAGTCTTTCTGTGACACTTCTCTGAAGTATATAGTTGTGTTTATGTTAGGCGTCTTTGTGGATGAGTCACACAGTCACAAACAAATGGGCAGACATGGTTGTCTGCAAGGACCAACCATCCAAGTCTTCATCACTGTGGCCCACGTGCTCCGGGAACGTGCTGTAATACGGCTTTAACTCAGCACGATTCAGATTTCTTGATTGAAATATAATCCTTGCACATTCTGTCTTTGTCGCTGCGTAACAGCTCTGTAGGATCACTTTCATGCATTTGCTGCAACCTGCACGAGACCCCGAATCTGCATCGCCCAATCTTCTTTTCCATTTTTCTATATCCCACCATCTGGATGACTGTCAGGGTTTGCACAGCATGGGCGTTTTCCCGGCTTTTCCTCTAATTCCTACCCAAACCGACACAATCCCAGCGTATTTCCTTTCAGGTAATTATGAGATAAAGGTGTGGTGCAGTCGGGGATCAAAGCTGAATCAGAAACTACATGGAGATTTTTGCACTTGATTGTAAATGGATTTGAGGGCAGACTGTCACTTCTACAATATATCACACTTCAGCGCTGAATAGACGTAGTGGAGGAGCAGTGTATCCCTGGCTGCTTCTGATGAAGTGGGCCCTTTTGCTACTCCTGGGCACTCAGACATAAGAATCTGAGCTGCTGGCGAATGAGGCTTATAATGAGACCCTGGAGATGTCTTGCTCAGACTCTACAGCTTTCTCTGCTTACCAGCTAACCTGTGGTGACTGCCAATCAGCTACGTAGCAAGTGGAGTAGCCGGGCCTGCTGGCTGTGGCATGTAGAGCTTACCAAAGTCTTAGAAAACAGCAAACTGTGACAAAACAGAAAAAACGGGACAAAACCCTTCATCTGTTTTCAGCAGAGATTCTGTGTATCCGGGCTGCAGCAGGACTTTTATAGTATCCTAGACTGTCTCACGTCAAGCTGTGAATGTTGTTCTAAACAGCTTGTCACTTTTCTTTTTTCTTATAGGCCTGCTTCAAAAAGCCAATGCCATATAATTGCTATCTGTGCTGTTATGGGGTGATTTCCTCTGTGGAGTACTTACCGAGTTGATTCAGTCATTCTTACATGAATGGGTAAGTTATTTAAAACTAGGGAACAAAGGTGTATTAAAGTGAAACCTTATTGTGTGATACCTCTTTCAACACCTTTCAGAATTGGTCATTTTTAGTTTAGGTGGGAGGCACTTCAGCTTTGTCCCCATATTTGAGCTGTTTTGGTTTCTTGCACTATAAAACCAAAGAAGCCCTCGACATTATATGAAGCAGTTAGTTTTAAGCATATTCCCAATCTTACCCTAAAGTCATCAGTTTTAATACTTGTGTCTGACTCAAGTAAAAGTCATGTGATTTAAGTCCACGTGGGGCAGAAAGCCTGCGATGAATCGTCTTCGGCTAAATCTGCAAGTACGGTGCTGCAAAGTCTGCAGTCTTAGTTCACCTCAGTACGCATGAACGCTCCAGCACTTCTCTGCTTTTTGTTTTATTACTGGGGTTGTGCAGGTGGAGTTGCATCACTGTTTCATGTATTTCTGGTTTAGGATCATCTTCACACGGCAACAGCTGTGAATAATTTGAAACGTCGCCTGTCAGCAGGAACTTTCTCAATAAAAACAATTTCCAGTTTATTAGAAACAATTGATCCAAAGTAGACGCATGTTCTAAATTGCCTTCCATACACACCTGCACAATAACTAAGGTTTACTATCAGGAACAGTAGTATAGAGTAGCACTTGTCACATCATCCTGTGTATAAAGTGTTAGAATGTTTTTGTTGAAGGCTTGGAGCCATTTTTCTTTCCTGGTTTAACTCAAGTGTCTGCAAAGGTTGTAGATCCTAAATATGAAACTCATTTCCTGATGAGTGAAACCACCTGCAGAACAACAGAAGAATGAATGTTTTCACTGACTAAAACCCTGCAGTTCGCTCTGGTCATCATTCAAGAGCTCTCCAGGAGACAGAGGAACTTGACTCTTTAAGAGGGCCAACGAAAGGAATGACGCCAAAAATGCAAGAGATTTCTTTTTGTTTCCACAACCAAACACTGGATGCATACTCGTAGGCTTTGACCTCGTCAGTCCCTCCGTTCACGACTCCTTTTCCCACTCTATTTGAGTTTGGCAACCTAATCCGGTGTTATCGAGGTGCATCGTCGGGGACGGGCCTGCTTATTTGAGGAACGGCTTGGAGATGAGTTTATTTGCAATACTGGGAGAGGAATGATGAGGCAGGCCTGAGACCCAGCTAGAAGAAGAATGTCAAAATAAATCCATTTCACAGTCTCATTCAGTTTGCTTGGCTCGGCCTATTACTTGGGCCATGACCGTACCTGCAATTCCATGTAATCATTCGGGAAAACGCTGGATTCTGCAGGTATATGCCACTACCACCAGTCGCTTTGTGTGCACCCAGACACCTACGCAAATGTGCATAGACTTTGATTTTTATCAGTCTTGTCGTGCACACACTCGTGAACAGTGAGTTAACACTAGCTGGCAGCGGAGACGTCCTCTCATGAAGGCAGCCAGGCCCATCGTGCTCCAGCTCCAGAGTGCTTTGCATCTGAAGGGTCCGGACTGGCTCGCTGTTAATGCGTGATTGGAAGAGATGGACCTGAAGCCGTGGAAAACGTTCAACTGAAAATGATGTCCCGTCCGTTCGGAAATTCACCGCCAAGCGAGGTCTGGAACGCAGTCAGCAGATGCCACTCTTAATTTTCCCGACTTTGAAAGTAGAGACCATTCCAGTTTGTGAGGTTTAGAGTGATACAAAGTTGGGAATGTTACACTATATTTTCCATGCTGACACAAATTGCAGCAAACTGATCGAATATCTTCAAGACAAATATGGATGCAAAATGTATTTTATTTTTTTAAAGGAAAAGATGTGAACTAATCCCCACTCGCCCTGTTCATCTCTAAAGTCACTCAGGAGAGGAAATGCTAACCTGATGTTTAGCCACTATTAGCAGAAGGTTTCCTTTAATGCCTAACAGCTCAGCATCACAGAAGTTCACATGGGTCTCAGGTATGCTAGCTTTAAGCTCCCCGCTGATTGTAGAAGTCACTGGTTTCCACACAGGGATGGAAAAATACCACGATAACGCTGGAAAAACAACCAGGACATCCCAAAGGAGACACACAGCTTTAACAGTATGCATTAGTGATTAACATACCACTGTGTGATTTGCAGAAACTGCCAATAATCCAAATAGGTCTTGTTTTTGGATCACATGGTTCGATGTGAGATGTTAGTTTTTTGGAGGGGGTTTCTGAACGAGTTAGCGACCG